CGAGGCAAGGAGGGAGGCTGCTGGTGGCGGGCCGGCGCGTGTATTGCGGGCGGGCGGGCGTCTCAGGGTCCCCCGGCGCCCGGCGCCCCCTCCCGCTCCCCCCCGGCGTCCCCGTCCCGGCTGCGCTCGGCGCCCTCCTGCTCCTGCGCCTCCTCCTCCTGGCCGCCGTCGTCTTGGTCCTCGGGGGGGGTCCGGCGTCGGGCTTGGGCCTCTGCCCTGGCCAGGCGGTCCCGCAGCGCCTCCAGCTGCTCCTCCATCGCCCCGGCCGAGCGCAGGCAGCCCCGGCAGCTCCGCACGTCCTTCCGCCCTGCCCGACGGTAGGCCCCCCCCCGGTCCTGGCCCACCCCCACCCCCCCGGGAGCGGCCGGGACTCACGCTCGCGCACGTGGAGCCGCTGCAAGTCCCGCGCCGCCTCCAGCTCTTCCGCCAGGGCGCCCGGCGGCGGCAACGGCACCGGCACCGGGGCGGCGGGCGAGCCTGCGGGAGAGAGAAGCGGGCGGCTCAGCGGTCGGAAAGGGGCACTTCCTGTGCGTTTCTCCCCCAAAATAGCCCTGATTATAAGGACTGGATTTACTTGCTCTATGGACGTTTGAGACTTTGTAACTGCAGCTCATCATTTATTGTTTGTCTCAAGTCTTAAGGTTTCTGCCCAAAAATAGCCCTGCGTGTAGCCTTACTCTCTAGGCATTCTCTCACTTAAATGAATACAAGGACGGCTCTACAATGGGCAGTGCAAGACCTTGCATGGCTCCAAACTGCTGCTGAGGGGGCTTCCTGTGTTCATGAGCGGCCACTCACGTGCACAGCTTGGAGGGAACACTGCTACCAAGTCCAGGGTTGCCCTGCAGAGGCAGGCAGTGGCAAACCACCATGGTTCTTCCCTTCCCTTGAAAACCCAGTGGGGGTCACCAAAAGTTGGCTGCCACTTGACAGCACTTTCCACCATCAAGAATTCAATCGTGGGTATCCCCCATGTCAAGCGCAGATCATTCACAGTTGATCATGCAAGGACATGCACGCAGAAATGCATCTGGATTCAGCCAGGGCATCAATCATTAATGGCCACTGAATTGCACTAGCATATATAGGGGGTAGTGGAAGGGGCCTCCGCCTGCGCCCCTCTCCCCCCCCCACGGCGCCGGCACAGCCCTCCTTGCCGGGGGGGGGGGGGGCGGCGGCGGCAGCTACTGGAACCAGCGCGGACTCAACACTGGCCTGGCGCTTGCTCCC